GAATTGCTATAAATTTTAAATTAAGGGGCTCTCAGGCAAAAATTATGGGAGCAGGAAATAACAGTTCTGTAATAGGGAAGGAAATAAAAGGATAAAATAAACAATGCAGTAAACTAAACAACACTGACAGAGTCAGAACCCAACCTGACACCCTGTGGGTCAGGCTGTTGGCAGCAGTGCCATTGGAATTGTGGCTCAGCCCTCCTGCAGTGTCAGGGGTGGTTCCCTGTAGAAAGGTGCAGTCTCTTCCTCTGAAGATCCAGGGGCAGAGGCAGCTGCTGTTCCTCTGGGAATCCAGTGCAGAAGCCGTGCTGGTGTTCCAGAATCTCCAGATTCTATCCAGGCAGGAATGCTTGGCTGGTGTTCCAGAATCTCAGATTCTATCCAGGTAGGAATGCTTGGCTGGTGTTCCAGAATCTCCAGATTATATCCAGGTAGGAATGTTTAGTTGGTGTTCCAGAATCTCCAGGTTATATCCAGGTAGCAATGCTTGGCTGCTGCTCCAGAATCTCCAGATTATGTCCAGGCAGGAATGTTTAGCTGGTGTTCCAGAATCCCCAGATTATACCCAGGTAGGAATGTTTAGCTGGTGTTCCAGAATCTCCAGATTATATCCGGGTAGGAATGCTTGGCTGGTGCTCCAGAATCTCCAGATTATATCCAGGTAGGAACGTTTAGCTGGTGTTCCAGAATCTCCAGATTATATCCAGGTAGGAATGCTTGGCTGGTGCTCCAGAATCTCCAGATTCTATCCAGGTAGGGATGTTTAGTTGGTGTTCCAGAATCCCCAGATTCTATCCAGGCAGGAATGCTTGGCTCCTCCCTCTGGGCTCACATCTCCCAATGGGATGCTGTAGCTCTTATCAGCCATGCAGGGACATTCAATAGCTGTTATCAGCAGATATCTCCCCTGAGGGAGGATTGGGTATGGAAAAGACAAGGAACACTGCCCACTTAATAGAAGACAACTGCCTTACAGATGGCAATAGAATACATCTTGCCTTGTGTGTCCTTCAGAAATGAAGAGTGGCCTTGTGCTGTGCTGTGTTTGCAGATCACAGGTGCTACAACAGCACGGGCGTGGATTACCGGGGCACGGTGAGCGTGACGCGCTCGGGGCGGCAGTGCCAGCCCTGGAACTCGCAGTACCCCCACACGCACACCTTCACTGCTGCCCGGTACCCCGAGCTCAACGGGGGCCACTCCTACTGCAGGAACCCTGGCAACCAGAAGGACGCCCCGTGGTGCTTCACCTTGGATGAGAACCTCAAGTCAGAGCTCTGCGATGTCCCGGCCTGCGGTAATGCCTGACCTGGTGTGGGCTGGAGCTGGGGAAAGGGGAAGGGTTTGGTGCCTTGTGAAAACTGCCCTNCCTGGCAGAGGTTGGATTTTCTATATACACTTTAAATTCTGCCTGCAGAATTTAAATATCCAACCTGGCAGAGGTTGAATTTTCTATATAAACTTTAAATTCTGCCTGCATGACTCTTCCTGCTGTGTTTATCAATATTAAGCACAAGCTTGGTTCAAAAATAGAAAACTATGTGTTAGCTGCTTTAAATAAACATCAATCCTATTTTTCCAGGCAGTTTATATTTCTCTTCTAATCAAGGCTGGGTGTATTTCTGAGCAGAGCCTTAAAAGCACTCATTTCATGCAACATTAATGTGTATTTTGGCTAAGCTGAAATGCCACTTTTTGCCAGGCAGATGAAAGGGGTTTATTTAAACAAACAAATATACAAGGTCTTGTTGAAGAGAAGGAAATAATCCTAATTGTTTTCAACATTTTGCAGTCACCTTTTTGTGTTTCTGGCTGTTTCAGGGATGAGTATGAGGAGGATGGGTTTTGCCAGCCCTACAGGGGCATCGCCTGCGCCCGCTTCATTGGCAACAGGACCATCTACATGGAGTCCCTGCACATGCAGGGGGAGATAGAAAATCAGATTACAGGTGGGTAAAAACACCTTGGCTGCTTCCCCACCCAGCCCTCTGCTCCCAAAAAGCTGCTGGAGTTTTACAAACAGCGATGTTGTTTTGCTTTGCTTCATTCCCTCCTGCCCTCAGCTCATCTGGGGCTCTCTGCTCCTCCAGCTCCTCCCAAAACACCTGAAAAAAAAAAGATATTTCAGGGAGAAGGGGCTGTGTGTTTACAGCTTCTGGGAGACTCAGTGCTGCTGTTACCCCAGCAGGTTTTGGAAGCAAAGGGGGAGAAACTTTAGTTGATTTTACGTGGCTGGAATAATTTAGGTGCTGGGAAAGGCTGCATAAATAATCCAGCAAGCAGTATTATTCCTTTGGATTTAGGGGAGAACCAGTTGCCGTTATTTTTGTGGGATGCTGATAGAGTTGCTGAATTCACAGATATCATAAATACCATGATATTCTCTATTTTTTTAATATAAATTAACTTGGTCTGATCCTAGCCCTGGTAATCAGCTCTACATTCAGATTTTTTTTCTTTGCTGTCAGAATATCCCAAATTTCTCTTTTCTTTTTGTCTCCAAACACTGTCAGCATTGCAAAAAAGGGCTTCATTTCCGCAAGAAAGGCAATGTGGAGCCACCAGTTCATAATTTTCCAGCATTTTGTTTGAAAAGTTATTTGGGATTGTATTGGGATTGTCACCTTCCATGAAGGAACCAGTGCAAGAATTTGGGGGGTTACCTGTTGGGCCGACAAATATTACATGAATTTGTAAGTTATTCTCAGTTATTTGGGAGGAAAGAAGGAATAATTAAAGGAATATTTAATTAAAGGAATATTTAATTAAAGGAATATTTAATTAAAGGAATATTATGTTTGGGGGTTGGGTAATGAGCTTAGCATTAATCCCTGATGAAAACCTGATGTATTTTCCTTGTCAGTGAAGTCATCATGGTTAATAACTTCCAGTGTAATTAGCGCCGTGCATTCCTGCTCATCACCTGCCCAGCTGCAGTGGGGAGTGAGGGTTTTTCTGTGAGGACACAGCCCAGGGAAAAGGTTCCCAAGCCAAACCCTTGTGGTTTTTTCCAGCTGCCTTCACCATGATCGGCACCTCCAGCCACCTGTCGGACAAGTGCTCCCAGTTTGCCATCCCCTCCCTGTGCCACTACGCCTTCCCCTACTGCGACGAGACCTCCTCGGTGCCCAAGCCTCGGGACCTGTGCCGGGACGAGTGCGAGATCCTGGAGAACGTGCTGTGCCAGACCGAGTACATCTTCGCCAGGTCCAACCCCATGATCCTGATGAGGCTCAAGCTGCCCAACTGCGAGGATCTGCCCCAGCCCGACAGCCCCGAGGCCGTCAGCTGCATCCGCATCGGCATCCCCATGGCCGACCCCATCAACAAGAGTGAGTGCTGACTTGTGACCGTGCTCGCGGGGGTCCCGGGGTGAGGGAAGAGATGAGGATCTGACTCCATGTTTCAGAAGGCTGATTTATTATTTTATGATATATATATATTATATTAAAACTGTACTAAACGAATAGAAGAAAGGATTTCATCAGAAGGCTGGCTAAGAATAGAAAAAGAAAGAATGATGACAAAGGTTTGTGGCTCGGCTCTCTGTCCAAGCCGGCTGACTGTGATTGGCCATTAATTAGAAACAACCACATGAGACCAATCCCAGATGCACCTGTTGCATTCCACAGCAGCAGATAACCATTGTTTACATTGTGTTCCTGAGGCCTCTCAGCTTTTCAGGAGAAAAAATCCTAAGGAAAGGATTTTTCAGAAAATA